TGGCATCAACCACCACCCTCCCTCATCCTCCAGCTCCCTCCTCCTACGCCCTGTGGGAGGGTGCAGCACCAGCCACCCCCAGTTATTGCCACCCCCCAGGGTTATATGGTGGAACCTCAGCATTAGTGGCTTCAAGTGCCCCTAATTGTGGGTGCGATTATTGCCATCCCTGCTCCATACACCCCCAAACTGGTCTGTGTTGAAGGGACCTTTAAACTCATCAAGTACTGACACCTGCCCCGGGCAGGGACACCTTCCACTAGAGCAGGTTGCTCCAAGCCCCTGTGTCCAACCTGGCCTTGAACACTGCCAGGGATGGGGCAGCCACAGCTTCTCTGGGCACCCTGTGCCAGCGCCTCAGCACCCTCCCAGGGAAGAGCTTCTGCCTCAGAGCTCATCTCAGTCTCCCCTCTGGCAGGTTCAAGCCATTCCCCTTGTCCTGTTCCTACATCCCTTGTAAAAAGTCCCACTCCTACATCTTGCAACGCCTCCTTCCTCCTGTGCTGGCACCAGCTTTGGGCTAAACCTTCCCCATATTGCTCCCAGATCTTTGCATGCATCACCCCACACACAGCACCAGCATCCCCAGGACTCACATGGGTCCATGTACCGTTCCTGGGTGTCACTGGTGTCTCTCCATCTCAGAACAGTTGGTTTTCCCCTGCTGTCCCTCCTTGCTGGTAGGCACCACATCAGAGCTGCGTTTCCAGCCGAGCACAGGGTATCTGAACCCCACAGCTCTTCTAACCCCACCCCAAACATCCCCCTGTTTCTTCCAGTTGCCCTTATGGCATGAGAACAGCCTGGACATGCAGACATGGACATCCCAGCACCACAGAGAGGAGCAAGGAGGGGTCAGGAAAATGCATGTGTGCTTTATTCATGGATATGTTTGAATATTGATATGTACAGAAGAGATAAGTACAAGTTATACCCCAGTAGTACAGGCAGGCATCAACCATCCTCCCTATGTGCATGTGTACACACGCACGCAGCCTTTAGCACCACCCATGGGGTTATTGCTCCAAAACCAGCTCCCCTCCGCAGTGTCTCCCACCCTGCTCGTGCTCTGGCTTTGATGATGATGTATTTGTACACACACACCCCATTCCATGGGCTTCAGGATGCCAAGCCACTGGGAATGGTGCTGAGCAGCCCAAAAAATAGAGTTCGGTGGCTGGTTTGGTTTGGTTCTTTTCCTTATTACTTGTCCCACACGACTCTTCTTTGTGCTTATGGAAGTCCCCAGATATGGAGTAATCCCTAAAAGTATTGTTTCCCTTTCTCTCGGCTTTCCCAATCCTTCGCCTTTACAAGCAGCTGCTCTGACTTTGGTGGTGACTGAAGAGACTTCAAAATGAAGATCCGTGGTTCACTTCACAGAGTTCAACAGAGATGGAATTTCATCCCAAAAAATCACCGACTTTTCACCAGGGAAAAGAAGCGGCCCTTCCACACACGTGTTTGTAGGTGGGGAGGAATGTACTCGGGTTTCCTTCCTCCAACGGGACTGTTCAAAAGCCATCCTTCTTTTGCAAAGTGTGATGCATAAAGAGGCTTGGGGGGGAGGAACTGACATTAAACATTGGCAAAAGGGGTGAGATGACCAGTAAAAAGTCATGCAGGTTTGGGGATTATTGTTGGCTTTAATTCAGTGTGATATGTGTGCCCATCCCAACCCTCTGGCTTCTTCCTGCTGGGTGAGAGGCTCATTGCTCTGTGCCCTGCTCACTCCCTCTCGGAGCATCCCCAGAGCCCAGCACGCAGGACCTGGCCTAAGGCAGTGCTTGAAGGATGCTGCATCCAAACCACAGCACGGGACAAAGGCTGAGGACATTTTCAGACCTACAACCTCAACTCCACAGATGATTTGAGGTCCGTCAATGAAGGGCACAGGGAGGAAACCCTCTCAAAGGCACCCACTGACAGTAACTCTTTGTGCAGGGATCCCGGCAGGTCGCTGCTGTGGGGTTTGAGTTTCTCATGCAGTGCCTCCCTGATATGACCCATGGCAGTTGGCTGTCACCCCCCACAGCCACTGTTAGCTGTTGGTTTGTCATCCTTCTGTAACTGAGAACTTGAGAAGACACCACAATAGGAACTGAGGGTCTCATCGGCCTGTGGTGCTTGGAGACAACAACCATCCTAGGGAGACTTTAAAGCCAGATATAAACCCAGGGGAGATGAGGGTGATGTGTCTCATTGAAATGGTTAAAAGTCATTTAAGGTAAATCTGCCATAAAATATAAATAGACCATTGGTCCTGCTGTGGGACATGGTAATAGACCAGGTAACCTCCGGAGGTCTCCTCCATCCTCTCTAGTCTCTGAGTGTGATTCTCACTTGTATTTTTCACAGTCTTAAGGGAGAGCTGAAGTGGGGTTGTCATCCTGACCACCCACAAAAAGTCTGTCTCTGCTGGATGTCAATCAGTCAGAGAAGGAAACGGCAAAGTGGCATTTCAGCATCACCACCAGTGAGTTATGAGAGACACAGGAGTGGAGCCATGAGTGGGCGCTCCTGGAAAACAGAGATAGATACACAGAGATTAAAGGCTGCTGGAGACGGATGTGCAGAAGAGGAGGGCATGACCACTCCTGACCACAGCACTTGGAAAGAAAGCGGCAGGAGGAGGCAATTCACAGCAAGACCTCGTGATGTTGAGGTAGTTCCTTGCCTTTGAAGGGCTGAGCATCAGAGTTTAACCCCTTTCTCACCTGTGGCTCAGAGGACACAAGCTGTGAATAGATGGCTCCATGGTCTCCCAGAGGACCCTGTTGTCCTAGATAAAAGGAAGATGTTCGCACTCAGACCATGGCTATGGCACTGTGAAGGGGGGTGAGGGACTTTCCTGCCTGTAGCACTACCTTCCTGCCTGCTTTTCTGCACTGGGTGAGCCTTTTGGCAGTGGAGATCTTTTACTTCTAAGTTTCAGTTCAGAGTGTGGCATCCTGCCACAGTTCACTTTCAGTTCAGACTTGGCATCCTGAACACCAGACTTGGACGTTGACAGCTTAACAGTTGGATTCAGTGATCTTAAAGGTCTTTTCCAACCTAAACAATTCCATGAATCTAGGTACTGATGTTCATTTGCACAGCCCTGGATTAAGACAACCAGGTCCTACAGCCCACAGGACACCAGGGAGCAGAACTTTGGATAGGATGCAGCCAGGAGGGTTTCTGTGTGTGTCTTACACACCCACAAGGGTTCAAAACCAAGTGACCAAAACCCAAGAAAGTTGCTGCAGTTTCCCAGCAAAATCTGAAGCAATAAACAGTGGAACAAGTTCTGCAGGGAATGGGAATAAGAAGTACTGGACTTTGCTGCATCAGCTGCTGCTCAGTCTTTCTGTGGATCCAAATGTTAAGGAACTAATGATGTTCCTTGAGAAGCACAAACCAAGGAATAAACGGGATGCTTCAAAGTCCAGGCTCAAATACTCTGGGTGAATCTGGAGCTATACGTGGGCTTTCCATGGTGGTCAACCTGGGCAAGCTTTTATCCTGGGAAACCTTCTCACCCTTCCTTACCATCATCTTTCTTGGCTCAATGGAGTGAGGGGTTCAGCTCCCCAAAAAGGCACTGGGAGTCCTCAGCTCACCTCCTTGAGGGAAGACCCCAATGCTCAGGTAGCCCAAAATCATGTATCTGCCTCCCTGTGCCCTGAGAGACCAGGGAGATGTTTGTCTTCACCCTCCAGCTGGGCTCTGGTCGCAGCTCAGTGGAATGGGTCACTTCACCAGTCTTTGCTTGATGACCTCTCATCTTAGCAAATAGGACTTGTCAAGAGGAAATGTCCTTCACCTGCTAACCTGGACCCAAGTGATTGCCTCTGACAGCTCTGCAAGGAGGGGAACCATAGCAATCCATTCCCTACCCATGACATGATTCATGACTTGGCCTTTCCACAAACTGGCTGGATATTTATGTCCCCATGGTGGTGGCATCTAATAAACCTTTTCCATCCTTTATCTTCCTGGGAAAACTAATGAAATCCCAACTGAGGAACCTCTGTCTCTGCAGGACTGGAGGACGAGCACGTGAGAATGGGTTGTGTTGGGCTCACATCGAGTCCTGCCCATGGGTTCACACATTCATGCCTCACAGAGAAAGGTTAGCTTGGAGTGGGACAACATTGGCCTCTGCTTGTTTGGATGTGACAGAAAAATACCTCGCCCAGACACTGTACATGAGCAGTGAACAGAGATGCAAGGGTTGGGGCACGAGGAGAGCCAGCCGCGAAGGGAACGCAACACACGTGTTTCTTCCTGAACACCACCAATACATGACACATGTTTCTCTAAAACGGAGGGCCCGAGGGGTAGGTGACATCTTGGAGGTGCATGCTGGTTGCACACTGGCCATGGTTTCAAGCCAGTTCATGGTGTGGTTATTTGGTCCACCCCGAAGGTGCTTCAGGATCCTCTCTGGTGAACAGAGCCAACCACTTTCTCACCAGTGCTCTGGTTTCTTCAGTGTGAACCACTTGGGCTGCCCTTTAGGTCCTGAGCAACCCTGGGCACAGTCTGAACTCCACATCGCTTGACATGTCCTGCCAAAAGCTCCCCAGTGTGAGTCAGGGCTTCAGGAAACCTCCTGACAGCTCATCCATCAGAAGTCTTTTCCCCCTTGTCTGGGGCAGGCAAAAGCGTTTCCTTTGCAGATCTCATTTACTGGCTCAACTCCCTCCTTCACCTTTTCCAAGGGAATTAATTGTCCATGGTTCCGACCCCATCCACAGAGAGCTGGAGAGACAACCAAGCTGTGGGGTGGAAGGGTGGCCAGGACCAAACATGAGCTGGTTGTCGACGATGCTGATTGATTGTATAAAACCAAACCAAGCGGCAGACGGATGAGGAGGAGGAAGGGATGCCCACAAGCTCACGTCTCCTTCCCATCCCCTCCCTCCTCCCACACCCTCTCCCCAAACAAGTTTCTGGTTGTTTTGTAAAGAAACCAACACCAAGAGAGTCTCTGCCTGGCGTGTGCCCACCCTGCCTCACATTGCAAAGAGGCTCAGCACAGCAAGGGCCAGGAGAAGCCACATCTGCAGAGGAGAGGCTGCCCAGAAGGAGGGAGCTGCTGCGCTGGAGGTCCCTGATGACAGACGAGTGGAGCCCCGCAGGAGCCTCTCCTCTCCTGCCACCTGCAAGAGAAGGAGAAGGAAAAGGTAGAGGAAGAGGAGAAGAAAGAAAGAGAGAAAGAGAAAGAGAAAGAGAAAGAGAAA